ATTCTTAATTAAAATTACATAAAATTAGGATTCAGACCCAATATTTATGTATTATTGTAACCAACAAGACAAATTAAGTCATATACAGAATATGGATTTACGTAAGATATCAGAATGATTCAGGTATCAAAATATAGCATTTAAAGCAGGAATCTGAAAACGTAGTTACTGTGTATAATTTTGACCAAATTTGACTTAATCCTCATTTCGATATGATGGCTCACATATTTTATTGTTTTTATGTGGCTTTATGTACCTTTACCACAAAACAAACATTCATTTATTAGATTGAATTTAACATGTTAAAAATTCTCCAACATGAAACAAAACAGAATTAAAACTGTCAATTTATAAAGCGGACTCTAAACAACAGCTAAAACTTAGTCCACGAAGGTATTTTTAAGAACTCACCCCCGTTTTATGTTCAGGAACACAATAATAAGTATTGTTCTGTTTGTACGTCCATAAAGTGAGCTGTCACAATTATCTGTTTCCTTCTTCCATTAGGCAATATACTGTACATATTGTTTTTTCACATAGATAAAAACCAAAACAAGAATGAACAAAAAATGGATGGAATAAAAAAAAAACACTTCAAAGTCTTTCCAGCTGATAATTAACTAAAATCATAAAGTTGAACAAGCTAAACTGTGAGCAAAGTGCTCATATAAAACACGGCAKGTCAAAGGTTGTTTTAAGTTTCGTGTTAGAAAAGTAAATGTACAGAAAGAACTCTCCTCTKACAAACTAATAATATTTAACTCAAATGAAGAATATAAGTCTTATAAAGTCACTTCTGCGTCCAACATCCCACCTGTGTGCATTTACTAAAACGACTAAATGCTCCACAGTTTGTTTCTTTATTTATCTCAAACATAACATCTGTATATATAATAAAAAAAGATGAGAACAGTTATCTCATAGTTTTCATTGTTCAGGACCAGTGTTGTTTTCGTTAACGATGACGAAATATTTTCGTTGACGCCCCCTTTTTTCATGACGATAACAAGACGGTAATGAAATAAACGAAGCTCTTTGATGACTAAGACGTGACGAAACGTGTGYGAGTTTTCGTTGGCGAGACGAGACTGGACGAAAATGTTAGTCGGTGGTCTGTCAATCATTTAGAACGCAGAGTGGAGGGAGGGACGGCAGCGCTGTTACGCACACGCACACACACAGCAGCACACAACATTTCCTCCCATTCTCTCACAGCC